GACAAAAAAAAAAGAAGGAAAAGGTTTACTTTAGCTTTTACTGACCTATTAAAAGGTATTGTGTGCTTTCTTTCAGTCAAGCTGTATTTTATTTTCTAAGAAAATTTTACTAATAAATTATAGTCGGAGAACATACCAGTAAATTAAAAATTAATTGACCTACTAAAAAATTTACCAGTAAATTTGTTATTCATTTCTACTATGCGAGACACATCTTATTAGTTACGGTATGACTAGTGTTAGTATAGAAGAAAAAGGTAGAAAAGTTAAACATGGAAAAAACTTTTCCACTTGGTAAAAGAAAAGGTATAATTTACTCTGCTTTTATACATTTTCAGCTTAAATATTTTTCCTTTACTTTTACTTTGATAGGTAAGAACTCAGAGGAATTGAGAAATTTTTTTAACTATTTTTTTTTAACTATAGCAAAAAGTCATATCTACTATATAAAAGATGGCCAACAGTCTCCATCTTTATGACATGTGGCCGTCTCTACGCTTGACACGTGTTTTCATAAACTAAATTAAAAAATATCTTTTATATATTAATAGAAGAGACACTAGGTGAAAAATCATAGGTGTCATTCAGAAGAGATTTTAAGGAATTTTTAATGAAAGTTATTAAAAATTATTAATGACATGAACCATTATATAATTAATTAGAAGAGCCAACTATTTGAACCATTATGTAAATAATTAGAAGAGCCAACTATTTTAATCCAATTACCCACCAAATTTATATCATATATACAATTTATAATCATCAAACGAATATAGAAACAACGAATATGTGGTAATTAATATGGAAAATCGTATTTAAAGAATATAGAGTATATGTGAGAATATTTTATTTTCTTTTCAATAACTACTAAATTTTGACCCGCGTTAAATGCGGAATTAGAATATTTAAAAATAAAAATTCATGAATTTTTTTAATACACGGGATAAATTGAAAATAACAAAAAACAAATGGTATACATCTCCATATAGATAAATATATTTTATCTTAGAACATTTAATTTGCATGACACTTAGATTAAATATATAGAATTTTTGAGAAATACCACTTTTTAAAAATATCATTTTTAATTTTTTTTTCAAAGTGCCACTAATCTTCTATATATTAATTGAGTAGATATTTGGTGAAAAAATCATATGTGTTATTCAATGAGGTTTCTAAGGAAACATGTCATTTAAATTAACTAAATCTATATGGTATAGTGGAAATCTCTACATGTTTTTATAAATTTTATAACATAAACACAATAATACATGTTTTACAGATTTAAATTTAACTAAATGTAATACTTAGATTTACCATATCATCTTTTTTTTTTTAAATTGATATATTAAAAAGCTTTTGTCATTATATTTATAACAATATTATTTATTTGTAGATGATAACTACACTTACAAATATTTTTATATTTTAATATTGGAAAACATATATTTTTCGTTTGTTATGTCCGAAAAATTCATATAAATCTAAAAATTTATTTGATTTATCGCATACTCTATAATTTAGAATATAATAAATGACATTTGCATTAGTTATAAGATTTTTATGCAAAATTGAAATAAATGACATTTGCATTAGTTATAATATTTTTATACAAAATTGATTAAAACATGTGACATCAAAATATGTTTGATCAAAATTTAATTTTATTATATTTGTACACAATACATATCATTTTGTACGTTTATAGATATTAGAATACACGTCTAAATATTAAGATCAATTAAAAAATATATTTAAATAATTAATCCCACGGTTGGCGTGGATCAAAATCTAGTATATTATTAACTTTCGACATCGTCAATGCTTTCAAAATTTTCCATCAAATCAATTTTTCATTCCATAAACGAGAAAAACTTTACGAACGTTGTGATGGAATCTTCCGTGTAATGTATTCCAAGGGTGGATCGTAGTGTATTAGAAGATTTCCATCACCCCTTCTCTAATAATTGACACATGGTCGTCAATTTTGCCATATACGTGCATATCGAAATTACAATTTAAGGTGTGGGGTTTCTCTGGGATGGACGAAGAAGACATGGTTTTGGATATTGGTAGAGACTCAAATCACCATGGAAATTCTATGTATGGAGGAGGTTTATATATGTTGGCGTGATTTAAACTTCGAA